CAAGTGAAAACGTTTACTCTATCGTGACAACAATTTGTTGTGTAATAGTCGATACACAACGTTTGGACAACGAATATGTAACGTTGATGTCACGTTGTAAAATAACGTTATAAATGACGTAATACTAACGTTGTGACAAGGTTGTGCCATGACGTCACCAATCTATAACCTTCTTACAACGTTGCGAAAACGTTGAGTGTTAGCTGGGAAGTTACAGATTAGGATAGTGAGCTTCTCTATTCTGCACCCTTTCGCGCTCCCTTATCTCTCTTTTGTTCCCATCCTCATTTTCTGTAATCTCCAGTTACATATTAATAACGGCATCAAACGTTCATTAACTGTAACATGCAGAGTATTATATGTACTATCTTTGGTAAAATGCAAAATGTTACCGTTACAGCGGACTCCCTCTAAACCGACATCCCTCTAATCCGACATACCCTGTAAACCGACATACTTATGATCCCGAGTTTGGCCCTATATAATATCATATATGAAACTCTCTGTAATCCGACATCCATCTATTCCGGATTCTGGAGACACACAAATACGGTCCCCAAAACATGTTTTTTGTGCAAATTAACTCTCTCTAAATCCACATTGTAATTTCACAAGAGATTGCATCAGCCAACACGCTTGGGCAAGATGTGGCCTGCCAATGCGTAATAGGATTGACTGTTAATTATTTGCTAATTACTTGTTCGATGGATTCATACATTGGTGAAATCACATGTTAAGTGCTTGTTTTGTTTAAATGACATTGATATTGAGATTATCTGCTTTTAACATGAGTATTGCCAGTCAGTGTCACCAACACATATATGTATTATATTATAATAAGAAGTCATGGTCAGTTACTGCAGTTACCTCTCTTTTTATCAACTTCATTTTTTAACCTTTTATATGTTCATCATTATTGACTTAATAAACATGGGTTTGTTGTAAAGCAACACATTTACAAAATACAATCAAATTCAACAGGTTTCTGTCCTCAAACAACAACAATAACCATTGATAATACTACATCGATATTGAATTCCAAATATCTATTACTCTTTACCTATTTCATATTTTTTAACCTTTCTAATTCGGCCTCCAATTTATAATTCACCTAACACTCTGTTTGCTTGTTTTCTATTTTTTTATTTTTTTGGGTAGTAACGGAACTCTTAAAATTTCTAATTTTTGTTCCCCGTCATTTCTTAATGAGTGTACTACCCAGTCGCCTAAATACCTTAGTTGTGCGTGCGACGCTAATTAAAGCAAATAACTAACTAATGACTGCACTACAAGTCACGATGGCTACTGAACTGTGCTCTTGAGCAAAAAACTTCTGATCACCCTCCAAACCACCATCACTGACTTTTTTTTTCATCATTTAATATTATTCACAAACTATCATTTATTATTACACAGATGATATTTTTAAATACAGCGACATTGATATAAATATACATATACATTTCACTGTGTTTGTTTAATTTTGTCTGTGTGTGGTTTAATTTTGGATTGAGTTTCTAAAAACTCCCCCTAAACCGACATCCCTCTAAACCGGCAGCAATATTACAGCAGCCTGTAAATAATCATGTTTAGGAAGATCTAACCAATGATTGATGGTATGAACAACGTCAAGCGTCATCCAGGGTCCGATCCGTGCAATCAACCATGATGTTTACCTGCACATTAACCAGTGGAACCAGTGAACAACGTATTTATCTTACCGAACACCTTAATGTTAATTTTGAATTGTTTGCAGCACGCATACAAATCTTTTTGTAGCCATCGCAAGATTTTGCTGACAAGAAAAACAGATTTAGAGTTATCTAACCTTCCATCGATTTGCATTCGCAAAACATCGGTAATTTCCGTACATCATACGTGATCATTTAATGTTATTCGAAATAAAGAATTACTACCACGAAGTACAGAATGAGTTGCCATTGACAGCGGGGTACATTGAAATGTTACTCGATTGTAAGCGGGGTACATTGAAAATAATAGAAGAGCGCTCAGCCAATCAGAAAGCGACATTTATGTGTGAGGTAAGATAAATTATATAGTACTAACCCATGACCAGCATAGGCAGAACAATCATTGATACAAACACAAATTGTGGGGAATCGAACCCGGGCCTTCGTTGTGACCAGCGAACGATTTAACCACTAGGCTACCCCATTGGCCCATGTATGAGTCCGCGTTGGCTCGTCACGCTGAAGACCCGGGTTCGAATCCCCACATGGGTAAAATGTGTGAAGCCCATTTCTGGTGTCCCCCGCCGTGATGTTGCTGGAATATTGCTAAAAGCGGCGTAAAACCAAACTCAGTCAATCAGTTGTATGAGTCCAGTGAGTGAATACCTACACTCCTACAACTTCTATTGTAACACAGCTGATGTCATGGATATTAACACCTGTGACAAACAATTGAGCTAGTTTGCCATCACTGATAATAACGAACAGGATTAAACCAGCAGGCTAATCCGTATTGTCCATGTCGATTCAGCTACAGCTGTTGAAATTGACATATATAACATGCCTGTGTGTCTAATCGCTGATTGTCTTGTGCATCTGGCACGTTGATTACCTGCTAGACAGATGAGGTTTTCACTGGCATGTTGAGCATCTGATGTGAATAGCGAGGACCAGCGAGATTTACTCAACGCTGTTATACTAGAAAAGGACGGGGAAGGTAATTTGTAAAGATGTAAATACCGACAAACCACACATATGGTAACAGGGGTTTAGTGCTTTTTGTTCTATGTGGTTGTTTTTGTAATTCAGAGAAACATATTGTTGAATTAAACATTTGTAATAACAGAATGGACCAATGTTAATGCAGTACTTGTATGTCTTAAATAAATAGGCTTTTGGTAACATGTATTGTATTTACGGACACCGTGTCACATACTTATCATGAATGTACACGTGCTTACGAATCTGTTCATGATCCTTACTCTTATTACAATGCTTGATATGCAGGTGAGGTTTTAAAAGTCTCAGAAAATACACGTTCTGCTAAAACCACTCTTGCATATGACTGTTTTAATCACCTTTATAAAGTGTTCCATCATAAAATTTCATCCATTACCCCCAAACTTGGAATAACAATGCAATCTCACTGAAGGCATGGTGTAAATCCAGCTGGCTAGGGTCCATACAGGAAGTACAAGTACTGTACAAGCCCGTGGTACCAAGTAAGGTGATCGACCGTCAGTTGCAGGCGATCTATTGCATGTTTCTCCATTGTACTGGCTTGATGTGGTGAACTATTTTTTAGTTTACATGTTAGTCTTAAATCTATATCTGTGATATTCTTGGAGTTGTTACTGTCATTTGTAGACTGGTTTATAATACTTCTTTATGTTTCACGTATATATAACATATGGTTTAAACATATTTTATTTTATTCAAAAAGAAAGAAAAGAAAGAAAAGGATTGGCAAACAAGCCTAAATGGCTTATATTAATGCCGCTCCATAATACATGTGGACGTTCACATTTGTGCATAATGTTGTACATATTTATAGTGGTTATATCAAGTTATCTCTGAATAATAACAATCATGGATATCAACAATTTATCTTGGTTTTGTTTCGTGGCCAGTTGATACAAATAAAAAATAAGAGAAGCTACAAAACTGTATGAATCAAAACGTTTTGATGTAATAATGAATTGATGGACTGACATATAGGCTGTTATACTGCCGAACTGGCTATAAATCGTAACTCCCTCACTGTTTTACATAGAAATATGAACCAAAACGATCAATAAATAACAATATTGATTAAGACTGCTCGCAGTTTCTCTATTTGTCTTATTTGCGTTGAAAGTCAGAAGATGATCTGCCATGTCAGATCTACTCAATAGTACGCTTACCCTCTCCTGATTTTAACAACCATTGAAAATCCGTTCATGTAATAAAATTATACAATGGCATATGTGGATCGAAGGAACATTTTATATAAATATTAAACATAATACAAACATTTGAGTTAGGAATAGAGGAGACAAGTGAGACCACTTCGTGTGTTTTACGTTATGCATGTATACAGATTCAGAGTAGCAAGACACTTTTCACTGTGATATGGGGATGTTAAACGTTCCGTTGAGTTTGCACCCGTGAAGATCCGGGTTGGAATTGATCTTCAGTAACCCATGCTTGTCGTAAGATGCGACTAACGGAATCGGGTAGTCAGGCTCGCTGACTTGGTTGACACGTCATGGTATCACATTTCCTTAGATCGATGCTCATGCTGTTGATCACTGGATTGTCTGGTCCTGACTCGAATATTTACAGACGATATAGCGGGAATATTGCTGAGTGCGGCCTAAAACTAAACTCGCTCAAGTTAAGGTTGAGCAATATTCAAGCGGGTCCAGCCTCTGATCCATCGAGTATGCTCGTTCCACATGGGCCTCAGAGATTGTTTGATGATGGATACAACATTCGGCTGAGCTTTCAAAATGTGTTATGGTAGACATGTGGAGGCCATTTTCGAAATTGACCTATCATTGACACAATTGATATCTGATTCTCTTCACTATTTTGTAGCATATGTTCCCATGTTGTTCTTTTCAGGTAAAAAGATGACTTGCCTTTTCGCGTGTTTATGACGGTGGGGCAGGACACTTTCACCTTTACACCAGCACCTAGTATCCTCAGTTTTTCATAAAGACATGATCATGATATAGACGCCATGGTACAGTGCAATCAAGTCTGTTTTCAGCAGAGATTTCTCTTGAATACTGAAATCGTATTCCTACACACAGAACACCATCTAAAGAAAATAGCATCCATACTTTACGCATAAAAGCCTTGTTCATTTGTATGTAAAACATTTTCAACTGGTTGGCCATAACAGTACATGATATATCGGCCTCGTAATCTATGGCGTCGTTCTTGCAATTCTTGCGGAGTTTACTTTTGGGGATTTTGGTAATTGCTAGCATGTGTAGTGTGTTGTTAATAAGGAAACACCAGTCAATCCAATACACGTACAAAATGTCCAAGGAAGCAATGAAATCAGTGCCGGTGACTGGAAGATTAACATCAGCAACAGCAGAGAGGCCACTGGATGTAGCATTACTTTCCACATGCCCTGGAACACCACCAAATATAGGTATGTAGACATAAATAATCAGGGTCGAAACAGAGCATCACCCAAGAACTGTTAAACTTGGACCGTCACCTGTCACAAATTCCGGACAGCCTTGGTGATTTTCCAAGTTCCTTTTGTGCCTTTTAAGGTGCATTGTACATTGCTTCCGACTGACTTGGACAAAGTACTGTGACTATGTGTCCCAGTCCACCCAGCTGTAAGTGAATTAAATTTTTAAGGCACATCGGCAGAATTTCAGCCATATCGTGACTATATCGTTATGTAATAATAGTTAGTGAGTGAGTTTGGTTTTACGCCGCTTTTAGCAATAGTCCAGCAACATCACGGCGGGGGACACCAGAAATGGGCTTCACACATTGTACCCATGTGGGGATTCGAACCCGGGTCTTTGGCGTGACGAGCCAACGCTTTAACCACTAGACTACCCCACCACCCCCACATTGCTTCCGACATCTTTCCATCTGTACCTAAAAATCGATATACCTCCGATTGTGAAAATATGGTGCATGTTACATCAAAACTATCATCATATATTTTCGAATTTTTTCTCCCACTGGATTCGATTTCTATTGTCTCTTGCTTAGACTTCGTTTGTTATGTTGTCATGGGAACTAAACATGGAAGAGTAACTCTTACCAACATTGACAAAAGTGCCACGTAGTATTATTAATGGTTTACGCAATTATTAAATATATTGGGCACTTTTTAGGAAAATTTGTGTCCACCCATGGCAATGTACTTTTCTATATTGCTTAGAGGACAAATATATCCTGATTTTCGTTTCGCGATTTCTCCAGGAAAATCAGGTCATTATGCAACTTCTTCTACGTGACATCGACACATGATCTTTCTGTCAAATATCATACACACAACACACGTTCCAATTTTATGCATAACTCTTTTACAAACATTATTATGACACGCTGAAAACGCCAGTCCAAAATGAGACCTAACAGACTTCTCACTCAAGTTGATCAAGTTGATATACTTACTGGTTAGAGAGACGAAGGTCTCAGGTTCGATACCCAACAGCGTCAAATCCAATGAGGGTACTTGCTGTTTGGTGCCGTAGGTATAACACAAAGAGTGTTAGGCTCGGAATCAGTATTCTTTGCCTGAATCCTTGTTAAACTGTAGGATGGTGTATGCAGTTCTAGGGACACATGTTGTAAACAAATTACAAGCAGTTACACAAATGCATAGGTGCAATATTAATGAACTTGACATTAAACACCACCTCAACCTCCTAACTGTTACTTGAAAGGTCTAATCTGTTGATAAACTGCAGCGAAAACTGCAGCAAGTCACTCACTCACTCACTCATCCATACATTGTTACATATACTGTTACACATAACTAAATAGAAGGCAACAGCCCAGAGAGTGTCTTTTATGTTGTATTTATTGCCCTAAAAAATAAATTGTCTACAATTCAATAAAGATGTTTGAAAACAAAAGAAAAAAGTTCTTAACTGCCAGATTAGTACTTCTTTCATACGAGTGAGTGAGTGAGTTTAGTTTTACGCCGCTTTTAGCAATATTCCAGCAATATCACGGAGAGTGACACCAGAAATGGGCTTCACACATTGTACCAATGTAGGGAATCGAACCCGGGTCTTCGGCGTGACGAGCGAACCCTTTTACCACTAGGCTACCCCACCGCCCCTTTGCAAGAGGAGCGTGTGAGGCTGAATCTCACAAACATCACCCTAGATAGTTCACAGTACCCCGAACACTTTCGATGTCTCCTCCATGTGGAGATGACTCTGAATATGGTTTGATATCCCCTCTTTGGAAGCAAATCTATCGCCTGCTTTATTTGGCCTTTTCTTCCAGTATCAAGAATAAACAGTGCCATAGAATAGAAAACGGATACATTTTCTGTTTCAAGGTGAACCTGTGAAGCTGAATTTCACAAACATCACCCTGGATCAGTTGCGGACTAAGTATCCCTCCCACCCTGGGGACAGGTACAGGCCCGAGGGGTGTCGGTCCGGGCAGCGACTGGCCGTTGTTATTCCTTACAGAGACAGGAAGCAACATCTGGGGATCCTTCTCAACAACCTCATCCCCTTCCTCAAAAAACAACAGGCGGACTTTACGATATTCGTTGCAGAACAGGTAAATATATATGTATGCGGTGTACTTTTATAGTTTATGTGGTTCATCATTGCTTCGGTTAAACTATCGATGTGTATCTTATCCAAAAATGGTTCCTGCTTTGCTACCCAAATCTACTTTTCTTAGAGCCTTCTGAACATGTCGCAAGTTTCCATTGCTTGTCTCCTTGTGGAGATACATACCAGGGGAGAACATCTGGCAGGTTCCTAAATATTGTCTAAGATTCCAGCGCAGAACGTTCCGATAGTACCCAACGCCTGTCTTCTCCGAGCCCCCGGGCCGCTTTACATCACACAAGCGTGAGTTTGGTACGCCAAGTACATTTACCTATGAAGAAATTCAAAATATGTTTTCTATGATAAAAGTGTGAAACTTGACATGTGTAAACCTGATTGTTGAGATCTCCCATGGTGATATGACACAAGTAGATTCCGGGTAAGGATATCGGATTGGGTGGTTAGATCGATTGCTTGTTATTGTATTCGTTGATCGATGATCATGATGTTAGTGACCGTACGGGGCTGCCCAGTCCAGATACGGTTATTTTCAGACATGTCCAATATAAGCATAGATTGTTGTTCAACCAGCAACACCTGTATGACTAAATTGAGTGAGTTTAGTTTTACACCGCTTTTACCTATGTGGGGAATCAAATCCAGGTTTTCGGCGTGACGAGCGAACGCTTTAACCACTAGGCTACCCATCAACCCTACATGACTAGAAGATTGTTGAAAGTGGAGTCCGTACATTGTTCTGTGATAGAATACATCTGTAACATTAGCTGTATATATCGGTGTCATCCGTTTCATTACAGTTGGCCTTCGCCCGTGGCCTGTAACCTTTTCAAGGTGGACTAGTTTGTTCCTCAGTGGCTCATGACACTGTCATCCGTCTCCTGAAATAAACATTGTGTGAAAAAGCAGAATAAATAAATCCGTCATTTCCTATGGTAAAAGTAGGTCTTAAGTGATGGAAAGGGGATCGGATTGGCTACTAGCGGGTCATCGTTTAGAACGATACTTAAAACATCAATCCAGAGTCCAGGGTATAATGCCTGCAGAACTGCTGAATTCGCGTTAAATAACGAAGACAATGTTGACAAAATCAGGCATTAAGATTAGGAAACTGGAACAAGTAGAATGAAAAATCAGTCAACTCATATTACGAGTCAGGTAAAATATATGCGTAGCAATCAATTATATGTATTATATTCTACACCTTTAAGGTGATATTTGAGAAAGGGGAAACGGACGATTGCAATTATCCGTGCAAATTGGCGTACGTTAATTTTTTTTATAAATATAGGTTATCATGCAAGTGTTTTTGGATGGTTATTACCCTGCATTAGGAATATACATTGTATTTTGCGAGCCAAAACACACGAGTGTGATAACCTACTTATCATTATACAATGCCATTCTTACTTTATAACTTTAGAAAATGCGATTTTAATTGCCACAAATCATGAAACTAAACTTCGTGGAATGTGCATAGATATCTATACTACCCATCAAAGGTTTAGATTTGCTTAAATCAGTCACTATAACTTATGTATGTACATATGGTTACAATGAAGATGAATTTCTCCACTGTATAAACAGTACCTTTAAACTGTATGGATGATTTTACAAAATCTAGTTCAGAACAGTTGACTGAAGTAAGTGGCTACATTTACACTATTGAGTCTACACTTTTGATGGGGAGTATATGAAGTCACAAACATGTGCGTCGCATTACGTTGCGTCACGCGCTCGGTGACACAATTTTCTGCGTTAGGTCATCTAGCTCCCATTAAGATTTTTATGTCAAAGCACATATCATTGTCAACAAATCTTAGCTTACGTTTGAAAAATAAATACAAACTCGCGTGGAACTTCAGAAACATTTAATTAACCTTTGAACAACTACACTTTAATGTTCGCGTGACATTCTGCACCTGGATTTCTATGCCGTCTGCTCGCTAACACTGACAGTCGGTCGGGGAACTGATGTTGGTATCTTCGTAAACCTATGGATTTCTATCTTCACTCCCACATTTCAGGTGCCGGGAGGAGTATTCAACCGAGGTCTAATGATCAATGCGGGCGTCACGGCCGCGCTGAAGTCGGATAACTTCACCTGCCTTGTCATCCATGATGTTGACCTCATCCCAGAGACTGGCGACAACTACTACCGTTGCCGGGAAGACCCTATACATCTGTCGACTGCCATATCTAAACACGGATATAAGTATGTACAAACCGACATTTTGACCAACAACCAGTATCTGGCATGAACATATTTTACAGAAAAACAGATTCTGAATGAAGTTAAAAAAATATAATAAAACGGAGCTCAGAGACATTCTTCAGTATCTGAAACTGCAGTAATCTTATCTTGCATGAGCTCTACTTGGAATATTTGTATCATGGTCTATGTAAAATGTTCTCGTCACGATATGGCTTAAATATTACCGATGTGACGTTAAATATTAACTCACTCACTCACTCACTGTATCAGGGTCTGTTTGCCTGATATCATAGCGTAACTGTCACTACACCCACAGGTTTATGAAGTTTTGATTGAAATGAAAATCTCACCATTTCCAAGTGCAATCCTCACACGGTCCGTGTACCAAGACCTATTGTATTATGACAACATTATGTGTGTCATTTTGTGTTATTGAATTTCATCACAGTGCGTGAAGGGGTCTCCTTGTGGGTTTCCCTGCAGGTGTTCCTCGGGGGGTGGGGGTGGTGTGGTGTGTGTGTGTGTGTGTGTGTAGCCTAGTGGTTAAAGCGTTCGCTCCACACACCGAAGGCCCGGGTTCGATTCCCGACATGGGTACGATATGTGAAATCCATTTCTGGTGTCCCCCGCCGTGATATTGCTGGAATATTGCTAAAAGCGGCGTACAACCAAACTCACTCACTCACTTTGTGGGTTTCTCTGTAAGTGTTCCATTTTATCCGTTTCTCATTGTACGTTTCCCTATAGTTTCCTCTATTGCTTAATGGAAGAAGTCGTAAAATCTGTATATGAGTATATAAATGTGCGTGTGAGCGAGGGGATGTGTATTCGTACCAAATGGGTACAATGTGTGAGTGACATTTCACACATATTATTGGGAAATTGCTGACTCATACACGCTTGAACATAGATATTCAAATGTCGTTGTGACAATGTACTTTGTTGAACGTAGAACAGGCGCTATGGTGAAAGGTCTTACAGTTTCATCGTATAAAATATCAATGCTTTAATGAATGCGTTTACCTGCAGGTATCCCTTTGTTGCCGGTTGTCCTTGTGGGTTTCTCTGCAGGAATATCTTTGTTTCCGGGTCTCCCTGTGGGTTTCCCTGCAGGTGTCTCTTTGTTTCAGGTTTTCCTTGTGCGTTTCTCTGCAGGAATATCTTTATGTCGGGTCTCCCTGTGGGTTTTCCTGCAAGCGTTCCTTTGTTATCATTTCTCTATGTAGGTTTCCAGCAGGTTTTCATTTGTTTCGTGTTTTTCCTTGTGGGTTTCCTAGCAGATGTTCCTTTGTTGCCGTTTCTCCTTGTATGTTTCACCGCAATTGTTTCTTTGTTGCTGTTTCTCTGTGTGTATTTCCCTGCAGGTAATCCTTTGTTTCCGTCTTTCCTTTTGGGGTTTCCTGTAGGTGTTCCTTTGTTGCCGTTTCTCATTGTGGGTTTCCCTGCAGGTGTGTCTTTGTTGTCGGATCTTCTTGTGGGTTTCCCTGCAGGTGTTTCTTTGTTTCTGGTTCTGCTTGCGGGTTTCCCTGCAGGTGCCCCTTCGCTTCCGGTCTTTCTTGGTGCTTTCAATGCATCTGTTCCTCTGCTGTCGTTTCTCATTGTGGGTTTCCATGCCGGTGATCCTTTGTTGCGGTTTTTCATTGGGCGTTTCCCTACGGGTGTTCCTTTGTTACCGTTTATCCGTGTAGGTTTCACTGCAGGTGTTACTTTGCTGCCGATTTTCCTTGTAGGTTTTCGTGCATGTGTTGTATTGTTTTCGGTTCTATGTATGGGTTTCCCTGCAGGTATTTCATTGTTACGGTTTCTCCTTGTTGGTTTCCTCGTAGGTGTTTCTTTGTTACCGTTTCTCCCTTATGGTTTCTCTGCAAAGTATTACTTTTTTGCCGTTTGTCATTGTGAATTTCCCTGCAAGTGTTCCTTTGCTTCCTGTTTTCTGCGTTGATTTCCCTGCAGGTGTTCCTTTGTTGTCGGTTTTCCGCGTGGGTTTCCCTGCAGATGTTCCTTCGTTGCTGTTTCCCCTTATGGGTTTCCCACCAAGTAATCTTTTTACCGGTTTTCCTCGTGAGTCTCCCTTCAGGTTTTCCTTCCTAGCGGTTTCTCTTGTGGGTTCCCCTGTAGGTGTTCCTATGTTGTTGTTTATGCGTGGGAGCTTCTCGATAGATGTTTCTGTGTCTTTTATGGGAGTTTCTCGGTTGGCGATATATTGTTGTTTCGCTTGGTGACTTTCGCGGTGGGTGCTTCTTATTTTTGTGTGTGTGCATGTTTATCGGCAGGTTTTTCTCTGCCCATATTTTATAAGAGTTTTTCAGTAGTGTTTCCATGTTGCCGTTTCTATGTGGATGTTCTCGGGAGGTGTTTCTATGTAACTTGGTGTATGCATTTCTGGGGATATAATATTTGTGATATCGAAACACACACTTCCAATAATCTCTCTGTATGTCTGTGTACGTAGAAGCAACGTCTATGTTCGTGTCTTTGTAGGCTCCCTTACCCAACGTATACCGGAGGTAATCTTGCCATATCCCCAAGTCAGTTCAAGAGGATCAATGGCTTTTCTAACTGGTACTTTGGATGGGGTGGAGAGGATGACGATTTTGGAATAAGGTAATATAGATATGACCGTCAGGTCTTTATTTTGTTTTTAGTGCCTCAGCGCCATACGCCTTGGCAAATGTGTTTACAGCACCCCATTGCTGGTCGTGAAAGGCGACCGAATTGGGCAACCTGTTTGCCGTGGGTGCCGTCCCTGTGTCGGCGTGATTCTGGTGACTGGGGGAACTGGTTCAAAGGAACAGACTTCCTCGGTCCATGACACATTTTCACTTAATCACTTCCCTTCAACCAGTTGTCAGCTCTTTGTTAGACAAATGTAGGTGTCGGTGTAGGACGTGATTCTAGTGATTGAGGGCACTGGTTCCAGGAACAGACTTCCTTGGTCCAAGACACATTTTCACTTAATCACTTCCCTTCAACCAGTTGTCAGCTCTTTGTTAGACAAATGTAGGTGTCGTTGTAGGACGTGATTCTGGTGATTGAGGGCACTGGTTCAAAGGAACAGACTTCCTTGGTCCAAGACACATTTTCACTTAATCACTTCCCTTCAACCAGTTGTCAGCTCTTTGTTAGACAAATGTAGGTGTCGGTGTAGGGCGTGATTATGGTGATTGAGGGCACTGGTTCCAGGCACGGCCTTCCTCGGTCCATGACACTTTTTCACTTAATCACTTCCCTTCAACCAGTTGTCAGCTCTTTGTTAGACAAATGTAGGTGTCGGTGTAGGGCGTGATTATGGTGATTGAGGGCACTGGTTCCAGGCACGGCCTTCCTCGGTCCATGACACTTTTTCACTTAATCACTTCCCTTCAACCAGTTGTCAGCTCTTTGTTAGACAAATGTAGGTGTCGTTGTAGGACGTGATTCTGGTGATTGAGGGCACTGGTTCAAAGGAACAGACTTCCTTGGTCCAAGACACATTTTCACTTAATCACTTCCCTTCAACCAGTTGTCAGCTCTTTGTTAGACAAATGTAGGTGTCGGTGTAGGACGTGATTCTGGTGATTGAGGGCACTGGTTCCAGGCACAGCCTTCCTCGGTCCATGACACTTTTTCACTTAATCACTTCCCTTCAACCAGTTGTCAGCTCTTTGTTAGACAAATGTAGGTGTCGGTGTAGGACGTGATTCTGGTGATTGAGGGCACTGGTTCAAAGGAACAGACTTCCTTGGTCCAAGACACATTTTCACTTAATCACTTCCCTTCAACCAGTTGTCAGCTCTTTGTTAGACAAATGTAGGTGTCGGTGTAGGACGTGATTATGGTGATTGAGGGTACTGGTTCCAGGCACGGCCTTCCTCGGTCCATGACACTTTTTCACTTAATCACTTTCCTTCAACCAGTTGTCAGCTCTTTGTTAGACAAATGTAGGTGTCGGTGTAGGACGTGATTATGGTGATTGAGGGCACTGGTTCCAGGCACGGCCTTCCTCGGTCCATGACACTTTTTCACTTAATCACTTCCCTTCAACCAGTTGTCAGCTCTTTGTTAGACAAATGTAGGTGTCGGTGTAGGACGTGATTCTGGTGATTGAGGGCACTGGTTCAAAGGAACAGACTTCCTTGGTCCAAGACACATTTTCACTTAATCACTTCCCTTCAACCAGTTGTCAGCTCTTTGTTAGACAAATGTAGGTGTCGGTGTAGGACGTGATTCTGGTGATTGAGGGCACTGGTTCAAAGGAACAGACTTCCTTGGTCCATGACACATTTTCACTTAATCACTTCCCTTCAACCAGTTGTCAGCTCTTTGTTAGACAAATGTAGGTGTCGGTGTAGGACGTGATTCTGGTGATTGAGGGCACTGGTTCCAGGAACAGATTTCCTTGGTCCAAGACACATTTTCACTTAATCACTTCCCTTCAACCAGTTGTCAGCTCTTTGTTAGACAAATGTAGGTGTCGTTGTAGGACGTGATTCTGGTGATTGAGGGCACTGGTTCAAAGGAACAGACTTCCTTGGTCCAAGACACATTTTCACTTAATCACTTCCCTTCAACCAGTTGTCAGCTCTTTGTTAGACAAATGTAGGTGTCGGTGTAGGACGTGATTATGGTGATTGAGGGCACTGGTTCCAGGCACGGCCTTCCTCGGTCCATGACACTTTTTCACTTAATCACTTCCCTTCAACCAGTTGTCAGCTCTTTGTTAGACAAATGTAGGTGTCGGTGTAGGACGTGATTCTGGTGATTGAGGGCACTGGTTCAAAGGAACAGACTTCCTTGGTCCAAGACACATTTTCACTTAATCACTTCCTTCAACCAGTTGTCAGCTCTTTGTTAGACAAATGTAGGTGTCGGTGTAGGACGTGATTCTGGTGATTGAGGGCACTGGTTCAAAGGAACAGACTTCCTTGGTCCAAGACACTTTTTCACTTAATCACTTCCTTCAACCAGTTGTCAGCTCTTTGTTAGACAAATGTAGGTGTCGGTGTAGGGCGTGATTATGGTGATTGAGGGCACTGGTTCCAGGCACGGCCTTCCTCGGTCCATGAC